ACTTTGGTTTATAGTTAGAGAGTTCGGGTTTTGCATGAATTTAATGTAGTACCCCTTCCTTTCTCGTGGGTTTTAAACAGGAAGTGAGTCTTTAAGCCAAATTTAGAGTCCCAAGTACCCAAATATATCTGGAACTTATTATCAAATAATGTGACCACTTTGAAATAAGATTTTGGTATTTTAGACTTTGGAAAATGCAGCCATTTTTTTTTTAAGGAAACAGTATAAAAAGGACTCATTCTGAATAAAGTTTTCACTTTTCACTGAACTTTGACAGTGACCAGTCATCTTCTCTTTTTATTTATTTTATTTTATTTAATAATTTTTATTTTTTATGGAATATAATGTAACAATCTACCATGTTTATTTAATTTTTTCAAGCATTTATTTTGTACGCCATTGAACAGACTCCTTCTCTTGGCATGTTTTTCTTCTTAAGATGTCATTACGATCTAGTTCGATCAGTTATCTTCTCTTTTTATTTATTTTATTTTATTTAATAATTTTTATTTTTTATGGAATATAATGTAACAATCTACCATGTTTATTTAATTTTTTCAAGCATTTATTTTGTACGCCATTGAATAGACTCCTTCTCTTGGCATGTTTTTCTTCTTAAGATGTCATAATATTTTTTTATTTTTTATGGAATATAATGTAACAATCTACCATGTTTATTTAATTTTTTCAAGCATTTATTTTGTACGCCATTGAACAGACTCCTTCTCTTGGCATGTTTTTCTTCTTAAGATGTCATTACGATCTAGTTCGATCAGTTATCTTCTCTTTTTATTTATTTTATTTTATTTAATAATTTTTATTTTTTATGGAATATAATGTAACAATCTACCATGTTTATTTAATTTTTTCAAGCATTTATTTTGTACGCCATTGAACAGACTCCTTCTCTTGGCATGTTTTTCTTCTTAAGATGTCATTACGATCTAGTTCGATCAGTTATCTTCTCTTTTTATTTATTTTATTTTATTTAATATTTTGTATTTTTTATGGAATATAATGTAACAATCTAAAATGTTTATTTAATTTTTTCAAGCAATTTTATTGGGTAGGGCATTGAAAATACTCTTTCTCTTGGCATGTTTTTCTTCGTAATATGTCGTTACGATCTAGATGACAATTTAAGATAAAAATCAAGAATAATTTTTTTATTTGGATTTTTCAAATAAAAATCAAAAATATATATATTTTTTTTTTAATTTAAATTTTTTCAATAAAAACAGATAAACGTTTTTGTTTTTTATTTTTTAAAGATCTTTATTTGTTTCGCACTCTATTCCGTGGGTTTCTTGACTGGGGGCTTTACAGGGAGCTTCGCTGGTCCACTTCTCTCTGGTCTTATACCGATTTGCCATTGTGACTATAAATTCTATTTTATTTTTTTTTCCAAAAAAATTAAACGTTTCTTTTTTAAATTTTTTAATGATCTGTATTTGTTTTGCTTTAAAATTTATCGGCCACTCTCATCTATTTTATAAGTATCCATTTCACTAAATTTTATGTTATTTTTCCAATCAAAATCAGTAAAACGATTTTTTTTTTAAATTTGTTTAAATATCTTTTTTTGTTTCGCATTCTGCTCCGTGGGATTTTTGTCTTTTGCCTTCACAACTGCGTGGGATCCTTCTTTACATTGGCGATTCCTGTGCATCTCCTTCTCTCTAAGGTCTTATACAGATCTATAATTATGACTAACAAAATTTTATTTTTTTTCCAAAAAACCAATCTGAAAAAAGCTTTTTAATTTTTTTTTAAAGATCTGTTTTTGTTTTGTCTTCTGCTCCATGGGATTTTTGCCTGTCGGTATCTCCTTCTCTCTAAGATCCTATACCGATCTACCATTTTGAGTAATGAAATTATATTTTATTTTTCCAAAAAAAATATAAAAACTTTTTTTTTTAATTTTTTTTTTTAAAGATCTGTACTGGTTTTGCCCTCTACTCCGTGGCATTTTTGAAAAAGTTGAAGAAGGAATTATGGGCCTTTCGACTTCCTCCTCATCTTCTTTTTATGATGTTTTACCGATCTACCTTTGTGACTATAGTAATTTAATTTTTATTTTATTTTTTTCCAATAAAAATCCGATACAAGTTTTTTTTATTTAATTTTTTTGAATAATTAAACAAACAAAATAATAGTTTTTCAATAAGTTTCTATAACAACGTTGCTAAACTTAATATAAACTTATATAAAAAAAAATGTTTCATTATTTTTATGGCATGTGTATTTAAAATTAAATTCTAACAACACGTAAGCCCCTGTTGCTGATAATATCTACAGATGTTTTGAAATTTTGTGAAATATTATGGAACATTTAATTATAATTGTTATAGTTTGCACATGTGGAAAAATAAACCCATTGGCTATATTTTCTGGCCCGCACTTTTAAGCCAAATGTGAATTATAAATAAGCGCCAAAAGGAAAACCAACAGTAATAACAAAAGCGTAATTAAATAAAAAACAGCAGCAACTCAGAAGTAGAAAAAAAACAAAGCTACTAGCTGCCACAGCAACAAGAACAACAACAACCAGCTAACAGCCAACTAACCAAAATGGCAACAACAAAAATCAGCAGCAAATGATGTTGAAAGTCGTTTTGCGAGTTTGGGCCGCTGAGAGCGGAAAGCGGAGATTGGTGTGGACTGGAGAGTGGAGCTTTTCAAAACGAGAGCTCCCCAAGAGAAGTGAGAAGAGAGCGAGACTTCTGAGCCAGACTTACCAAATTGTTTATTTTTAACTTCTCGCCGCAGCTCCAATTGTAAACTGACTATTTCAGCACTTTGCAATGGAATGGCCTATTGTTGTTGTTGTTGTTGTTGCGAAATTAAAAATATATATATTTTTCATGCCAGACTTTTGGCTTCCGCGTTGACAACAACAACAATCGCGATGAAAACAATGATAAAGTGAGTACAAAAACAAGCACACGACACTTTTTTCTCTTTACACTTAACCAATGAGCGATTTCTATGGCTAACAGCTCGGAATTGGCATTAATTTGCGATAAATTGCATTTTCAATTTCCATATTTTTCACAGGCACTCTCACATCCGATCAGACCGCCTCTTCCCCTTTCGATTTCCACTCCACGCGCATACCTGTTGCCTTTGCGGTTTTGTTTGTTTTCGGGCTTACAGGTAGATGGCCGCCGGAATGAAGAACACGGAATAGACAAATCGAATTTGGCCAGCACACACACCGTGTTGTTGTGCTAACAAATTCCAGTGTGTTTACTCGAAAAAAACGGTACACTAAATTTAAGCGGGCCTCGAACCGAACCAATCCCCGCCAGCGTCAGCGCGCACGTCCGTATCGTTCGGAGTCTAAAGAGCGTCTACTCTGCCGAGTCTACACGGCTGCGGCTAATAGTGGTCGGCACAGCCAGACCCGAGAGACCCCATAGGGGAGAAACGGCTACTCGTATATGCTCGTATGTAGATAAATCTTGTATTTTATATGACAATTAATATACAACTCAATTTTAATAAAAATAAATAAATTTAAATACAACTTCTCATGTTTATATATGGTTGGTTTTCCCTCGTTCTTTATAGGGGTGAGAGAAAGGAGGACTATTGTCAAACTTCTTGTTTGTATAATACCTGGTACTCTTCTAGTAATCTCCTAAATTTTTATCTTTCTTCATTGTCTATCCGTGGCTGTTCTTAAAAATCCTGCCCAAATTAGCCTAATTGATTCGAAAACATAAATAGCCCTTAGGAATAATTTCAAATCCAAAAGATTGGATCTGTTTATAGCCCTGTATTTTATTATGAGTTTATAAGATACATATGGTAAACGTATAGTTTATTTGAAGGCTAATAGTATCATACTTTAAATATTCACAGTATCCATTTTTGTAATGCAAAGTTTCAAAGGTTTTCTTCTCAAAACATATTTTTAATAAATTTGTCGCCAATAAGATGGAGAAAATATAAGGGACATTAAAGTTCAATAACGATATCATATAAGTTCAATGATAGTGGATAATTGGGATTTTTCAAATTCTGTCAGTAAAATGAAGATAATATATTACTAAAAATTAAAACATTATATTAAGGTATAAACACTCAGCCTTAAAAAAGCTAAAACTGTCACCACTTCTCCAGGTTTCTCGCTATTCTCTCAGCGGCTCTTCCTAACAGCACAGTTGTCCAACTCTAGCAGAGAAGAGAGCCCTGAGAACGCGGCGCATGTCTAAAAAAGACTCACTAACAGAGTCTTAACAGAAGAATGCAAGTGTTGAACGTTAATGGGAAAATTGTCGGTTGCAGTGGTTAATTAATTATAATTGTAACTAAACTAGGCAAATCGCGTTAATACTTTCTTGCAGAGGTAGCATGCAAAGGGCATATTTAGATAACAAGGCTAGATAGGCTTCAAGCTCATTTGATGTTCATTAATTTGGTCTAATTATAAAGTCCATTATGTAGTTTAAGCCTTCTTTTAAAAGATATACAAGATATATGTTTTTTGATTAGAGGATAATAGAATCTTTTATCTAAAAAGAAAATCTAAAAAACCTTTAAAATATCTAAATCCTCTTAGAAAAATATGTCTAGCATATAAGGACGAACAAAACCCTTTAATCCGCTTTATGAAATATCAGCCCCACTGTTCTTGCTATGGCTACCTGGCAACAATGGGCGCCCACAACAAATCCCGGGCAGGTGAAACCGGTTCCAAGCTTCTCCGGTTACCGCCGTCCTATACGGTTTTTGTTTGTCAAACAAAATGCTTGAGTGCATCCATCAGCTACAGGAAATTATCAACCAGAAATATTTGCTTTTCCGAAAAAATTGATTGTTTTAAGGGCGTTGCTTGGGGCGTAAATGATAATCGAGAGACAACAACGCCCACAAAATGATAGTCCAAAATCCATCACGAAGATGGGCATTGAAAGTGCCTCCCACTATTGCCAGCTGCCTGGCACTAGACTGGCACTCATCCACCTACTGAAAGTTTGTATCTCGATAAGTTAAATTAGCGATTCAATGCTACATTTATTTTCAGAGCAGTGAAAGTATGCGGTAGAGGGGTGGGCGTAGAAGCAGGGCGACGTGCGGAGAAGTTTGCACGCAAATCCACCAACTCATGGGGGTGACTCATTGGAGGATCTCGTGCTGCCAGTCGATCAGATTCAGTTGGGGCTTGAAGCGCTTGAGGGGACCTAAAAAAAGAAAACATTTAAATTAGACCAAAAAGTAGACCAGGTAGGACCATTGAAAGAGTTAAAGATCACTTACTTATCAAAGCATAGCGCTGTTCCTTTTGCAGCGCCAAGTAGTCCACATTGGGACCCGTAAGATGCTGTGCAGCAGCTCCGCTGCCCACAAGCTCCGGTATCCAGATCTCGTCCAGCGCCGCCTCCACAGCCTTCAGCAGGGCCTTGAATTCAAGCTGCAGCGAGGCCGCCAACGAAAAGCAATCTACGCTTGAAGAACTGGACGAGCTGGTGCATCCGCTGATCTGGAGCAGCGCTTTGCATGTGTCACGCACAGGCTGTTGCTGTTGGGCGATCTTCGTGACGTGGTTGTGCAGCGCATCGATGAGCGCGATGTCTTCGAAGGGGTTGCCTGGCTTCAGGCTAAGGAGCTTGCGTTCGTGCTTGCGTCGGTTTTTGCTCGAGCGGAATGTCTTGCTGGAGAAGGTATAGAAACGCAAACGGAAAGTGAAATTTCGGCAATGTGCAATGGAGCATCCAGTTGGCGATCGGAAAGGAAAGGAACCTACCCTGTGCCGCGCGAAGTGCCACTGAAACGCGAGGAATGGAGACTGGTGGTGTCCGAAAGCAAATCCGCTTCCTCGATATCCATATCCGCATCGTTTTCCGTACCACCGGCAGCTTGTTTCTGTCGAATGTCCAGGAGACGCTGCTTGTAGTCTAAGAAGAGCTGCAAGTCTGCCTGCAGAGAGGTCTGCAATTGAGTCCCAAAGCTTAACAAAGCTGGAGCTATCTTCGTGGCTAGAAATAAAGAATGTAATGGCATAAAAAATATTTCCTTTGTGTTTAAGATACTTACCTAAAAGGCTTTCATCATGCAGTCCTGCTTCATAGATGGCCCTGCCGTAGAGATGTCCCTCGAGCAGCACCTCGAGTTGCTTCTCCCGATCCCCGCCGTGGTCCTTCACCAGCTCATATGCCTCCAAGTGGCGGCCTTGCTGCTGAAGTGGGCCCACCAGCGACAAGGCGACTTGATCGAGGGGCTCATTCAGCTTCTTGGCCAGGACCAGAACACGCTGCCAATCTAGAGTGTGCTTGGCACTGAGCAGCGCCTGTTGCAACTGGCCACCACGCTCATACATGAGGCTAGCGTTCTCCAATCTGGCATTGGCCCTTAAATGATCGGCATAGGCTACGCATATGCTCTTGTGAAAGTCCTCGTGCCCCTGGTAACACGTCAGCCCCGCCGTGTACAGCTCATGCTTCTTGATGAACTCCAGCGCCTCTTCGTAATGCTCCTCTCCGCATGCAGCCAGGTGGGATAAAGCTGAAGCGTACTTTTTGAGGTGGTCGTCAATTCGAAACTTGCGATAGTCGACGGGCAAGGCCTTCAGTTCGTTCAGATAGGGTAGGAATTCTTTGGGATCTTTCTGGGACTTCTGTGCGACGAATAAAACGATGCCAAAGTCGTACATGCCCAGGGCTACGTTGTACAGATCGTTGACATCCACCAGATACAAGAGGTACTTTAGCATCTGATCCGCCGATGCAGCATCTGACTGCTTTTCCTTCCAGATGAGCTTCAGAGCTAGCTCCATGTGGCCCAGCTTGACATAGGCCGTGATCAGAGCTAGTCGGAACCGCTTTACATCCACCGGGTTTGTGGCCTGCTCCATGATCTTTCCCAGCAGTCTGCAGATGTACTCGATCTTGTTTTCGACGCGGTAATCCTCCGGATAGCTCTGCTTTCCGGCTTCATAGTTGCTGGAGTACATGCCCTTGGAGTAGTCCTCGTTCTGTAGCTCACTAAGGAACAGGCACAGCCACTGACTGTCCTTTATCTGCTGCAGGAAAACATGAGCATCGGCCACGAACTGCTTCACATTATGGTCGCAGATAATGTTCAGATTAATTCGATGTTTGCGAAGCATTTCCATGGCAGCTTGATACTCCTTCCGCTTCAGCAGATCACTAAACAGTTCCAAAGCAAGGACGCGGGGGCAGATGGCCTCTAAGTTTCCTCGCGGCAGCTGGAGCACCACCCGAGCCTCTCTGGCCACTGCAGTAACCAGTTTGCCGCCACGCTCAATGCTCCTGCTAGACACTTGATGCCGGTCCCGCAAGCGGACGAAGTGCAAGACATTCAACTGGGTGTAGGCCAGGTAGTTACCCACAACACAGAAAGATGTTACATCCTCGGCGATGCGCTGGCCATCTATGTGGAGTAGTTGCTGCGAGCGTAGAGTGATGAGACCACCTGATAATGAATACATTTAATGACCTTGATGACACCAGATGTCCGTGATACTGCTTACCAGTAGATTCGCTATTGAGGTTGAACCATTCCATCTGGTCCGCTGGCTGGGCCAGCTGTACATGAGTCCGCTCCACTTTGAAAGTGTTGAACGTTGTCACGTCGACCTCATAGCTATGCCCGTTCTTAACCGTCTGAACGTAGAACTTGTCGCACTTCCCAACGGCAACCAAATTGACCAGGCCATTGATTCGCAGAGAGCTCTGCAGCTTGTAGCATGGCAGACCTTCCTCGTTAACGTCGTCGTCATCAGGCTCCTTGTTTATCAGCAGCAATCGGGTGGAGTCGCCGGAACTGTGCGTGGCAATGAGGTAATCGGAGTTAAAGTAAGTTAGATTGGCTAGAGGCAGCTTGGACAGCTCCGGATCTGGTCCTAGCTGGAAGGCTTTAGGTTCATTTCCACTCCATTGTTGCATGGGATCGTAGAAATTAAGTTTCCGATCGCTGGTATACACACATAAGCAACCATGGTTCCAGCTGATGGCTTTGACATAGTCCTCCAACTGCAAGACCCGCTGGCTCATGGGAGGGGGGACGACAACCTTAGAGAAATCAGTGATCAGAAGGCGCTTCCCGTCGATAACACCCACGATGCCACTGTTCTTTAAACAGTCAATGGCAAATGCCCAACGGTAGACCAGGTGCTTGCCGCTTTGCCGGAGAATGTGCAGCGTGTGTTCCGCTCCCATTCTTGTGTCCCATTGCAAAAGTGCCAGAGGATCCTCGGGGCCAAAGATCAGTACCTGCTTCAGATACCAGTGGTAGTTTCCTATGGTGTACAGATATACCCTTTCCCCGTCTTTGGTAGCTGTTCTGATGGCCAGTATGTCAGAGTCCTCACTCCAGCGTAGTTGAACCACCGACTCCTCCTGCAAATCGAAGGGAAGTACTATTTCCCGATGCCTTAACCCGTTCTTCTCGAAAAGCGCTATCGTAGATTTGTTGGGGAATCTCTGGGGCAAGGCGATCCAATTTCCAGCTGGCCTCCAGGCTAAGGCCTCCTGCAAATTGGCGCTCTTTTCGGCCGTGTGCTGGAGCTTTCCGTCTATGTCATAAACCTTGAAAGTGCGTCCAACTTGGGCAGCCACGTAGGAAACCACAAACAAAGCTCCATCCCCGCGCCATGAAATGTGAATGTCCTGCAGAGCTCAAATAAGTACGTTTATACAGAATCGTTAAAAAAAGCTCACCTTATTAAGCTGTTCCCAATCCTGACTGGCTCCCTGATCACCACTTCCCTTCTTGGCAGCCTGTTTCCCTTCGGAACCATGAAACTGGGTCTCCTTTTTCCCCCAGCCGACGTTGACAAACTGTTGATCCTCCGATAGCTCCGCATCCAGTGGCTGCTCGGCGATCACATCGAAAGTGCTTGTCATGAGCACAACATTATGCGTTCTGGTAACGAAAGCCACTACCTCCTGGTTAGGGGACCAGGCCATTCTCTCTATACCCACATCGCAGTAGGTGCCCTCAGTTGTCGCTCCCGTCTCAGGGTTAACCAGCAACACCTCTCCTGCCCCGCTTGCCAGGCATATTACGTTGTCTAGCTGGAGGAACTCTGCTCCCACGATATCCGGCAGATCGGCGATCACCTTGGACCCCGCATCGCTTGTGTAGAGTTGGCTGTCTGTTACGATGAAAACAGTATCGGAGGCTTCACCGTTGAACTCCGGCTGTAGCAGAAGTTGCCTCGCCTGGGCCACATCCGTGTCCAGCTCCTTGCAATATTGCAGCTTAAGATTGCGCATTTCGTAAATATTGCACGTGTGGAGCGGTGTGACCGGAGCTTTTAATGTTTACTTTTTTATAGTGCCAGAAATAAAGCTGCATTTTTTATATTTTGCTTTTTTATCCTTTAACTAGATATAAAATGTATAAATAGGTTTATCTTTTGAGAGTCCCAATTATTTCATTTCGTTGAGCCATCGCATATAACTCCCACTTTTTTCTAATTAATTTATATTTAATACCATAACTACAGAGCGTGAACCGAACTATTTGACCCACTCTTATTTAAAAATTGATGGCACATAAGTACATTTGCTTCAATAGCCATTAGTACAACACTAATCTCGAAAAAAACTTAAAAAAATTTGTTTTTAAAAAATATCATTTAAAAAACGATATAGTTATCGATATGGTAACTATCGATAGTGTCATCATTGTTTTTACAGCTCCCATTCCGACACTCAACAACACTACCGCGGTCTAGCAAGCAGCCATCTTGCTCTGCTTTTTATATTTTTTGTTTAAATTAAATCGTCCGTGCTACGAAGCGATCGCCGAACCACAGGGACACCTGCTTAGCGCTAAACGCCATGAATGGGCTAAACTGAATCAGATGCAAGTGCGGCTATGCATCATTCCAGAAATCCAGCAGCAGCCAGTTGTTGGTATTCGATTGCGTGTGTGAGTGCTTGTGCAAGTGTTTCGCGTGAGGTGTACGTGTGAGTGTGGGCACCCATCTCGAAAAGGTGGTGCAAATGTTTATAAATATATATTACACTCCGTGTTCTATATGCATTATTAAAATCAAATGACATGTGCATGTGGCTGCTGAAGGCTTGATGCGCCAGCAGGGACGTCAGCAGACGCAGAGGCAGCACCAGCAGCATCAGCAGAGCAGAACGACACAGCGTCAGATTGGAATGTGTTAAGCAACAAAAACAACAACTCGACGAAAAAAATAACAACATTCGAGTATAACAGTAAAAAAAAAAACATAGTGAACATCAGGTAAGCATAACTATTTCTTTGGAAGCTGATAAGATCCGACATGGGGCCTTTTTTTTTCAAGGACTCCGCCCAACGCCCTTTTTGCAGCGTCGCGCTGTCTGCTTCCTTAATTTGTATATGTATGTCTGCCACTGTGTGTGTGTGTGTGTGTGCGTGTGAGTGTAAAAGCTTGCGAAAAAAAAGGATAACGATAACACGCCCATATCTTCTTATTGGCAAGTAAACAAACTAACTTTCAACTTGAAGGAGGGGGTTGGGGGGGCTTTGGAATTTGCTTTCAAAATAGCCATTCCATTTGTTGCATAAATGCTTGCCTCATCATCACTGCTGCTGCGATGATAATTATAAAGGCAAACACAAACACAAGCCAGCGAAAAAATTGGCAAAAATATATGTTTGCTCCCCAAAAGTGTGTTTTTTCCCCTTCTTTTTGGGTCACAAATGCAGCATCTTCAGCCTTAGTGTATTATCATTTTAATGCTGTTGTCTGAGGTCAACTAGGTCTGAATTGGTAGCTGGCTAACGAAAGCAAAAACGCGCTAATAAAAAACAAAACACAAAAAACTACGCATTTCCACAATCGGCAACAATACGGCAAAGTCAAAACAAAAACACGTTTTTCAACTCAACGCTGGAGCCAACGGCGCGAAATATTTGCTTCTCCCCGTTGTTGTTGTTATTCATTTTTGAATAGGGTGCCCCCCTCCATATATACATAGGTATCTACTACTATATATACATATATACCAACAATCGGGCCATGAATGACCAACCAATGCGTACAGTAGTAATTAAAGGCAATAACCGAAGCGTGAATTTCCGTTCGTGGCTTCTCTTCTTGTTTTTTTCGGCCAGTTTCTGCGTCGTCGTAGTAAGCTGACGTCACACGTAGGCGCCACAAAGCTTCCTTCCAGCACCCCACCCCCACTCCATCCCCCCCTCTCGCATGCATGCGTGGGCGTTGTACTGCGTAGCTGTATCATTCAACCTGTATCTGTGTCCGTGCCGAGTAGTAGTAGTACATAGCTTGGTGTGTGTGAGGTCAGTACTGCGTGAACTTTTCGCATCGCACTGGCACTGGCTAGTGGAATATTTAGTTTATTATCTGGGCAATTTTTAGTTAGTTGCCTAGTTGTGCTAATTAAGGCATTGCATGCCGGTTGGAATGCTAATTGGCATTTGTAATTTTTTAAAAGGGCTATAGACTAGACTATACTAGAAACTATACTATAGAATACACCTATAGAATAAAACCCAATTTCCACAAGAATTTCATTTCTAGAATCTTCTCGATTTCCCCTTCCCTGCTCTTATCAGAGCCACCACCTATCAGATACTATCAGAATATACTAGATAATATATCTTATATCTATCTTCTGCTCTGCTTCTGCTTTCTGGAATCCCAAAGATACTTCTGAGTTGGGAATGCTTCCCCATATATTCCCGTATATCTTTTGCATAGTTTGCGAATATTTCGAGATTGTTTGTTTGTCTTGGCTTCTCTTCGAAAATTTTTCGCGCTCGGGGGAGTATTTTTAGAAGCCCCCTCTTTGATCTGCCCAGTAGATTCCACTGGGTGGTGGACTGGGAAATGCAGTGCCTGCAGTGACGTCAGGGAGAATCTTCCTCATTTTCTCTATAAGCAGCCCATCGCTAAATGGGGGGAGGGAAAATGGAAGAAAAAGTGGGTGGGCAGTGTCGGTTGCTAATTGCTCTTCAAATATGCCACAGAATGCCACACAAAATCGCACAAAATCACGAACTGTGCAACTGCATCTGCTGGATCTGCTAAAGAAACAATAAACATTTCGATGTCTGCATTTTTTCAGGCAACTGCTTTCGCGGCAGCATCTCATGTTCATGCAAAAAAAACTGTCATTTGAGTTAAGGGGGGGGGAGGGCTAACAATGGGGAATTAATTATCATGGCTGGCGGCTGCAATTAGACCAGGCCGGGCTACCGAAGTTATTAAAACTGAAAGGAAATCGATCCGAACGGCAGAGCTCTTGATATGGGATATGGCCAAATCGGGGGTTTAATTGGACTTTGAGCCTAAAGGTCTCTATATTGGCCTAAAGGTGATAGTTTTAAATAAAATATAATTAATAATATATTAATTTTTAAGAGACCTATAGAATCTAACTAGTTGCTAAAGTCACGTAGCCTTCATTTATACTAAAAGTATATTTAATTTTTAAGATATTTGTTTAAAGATACTGTTATAAAACGATAAAGCTTTAAAGAGAAAAATAAATAAATTAAATAAAAATATCTAATTTTTTTTAGTTTCTATTAATTAAACTCGAATTAACCCAATATCTCTGCAAAATAACAACCACATCTTGACTTACTTTTGGCCTTACTTCCAAAGCCAAACCAAAGCCAGAGAGACCACAACCACCAGCTTGAAATACCAAAATTGGCCTAATGAGTTAAGCAACACATGTTTGGATTTTATTTACTTCCAATACGAGTCTATAGCTATTAATTTCAACAAGCTATAAAGCTTTGAAAACTCAACCAAAATCGGAATCAAATCAGTGCAGCAGGTGGGTTATGGCAATATCGCATGCGAGATAACGCATGAGAAAGAGCGATAGCCGGCGATGCCAAGCTAAGCTTACTCTCTTACTTGAGAGAGAGAGAGAGTTTAAGTTTTCTTGTAATCTCAGTATCCGGTGTTTTCTTCTCCCATTCAGTTGTAGTTCGTCGGCGGGAGAAGTAACGGGTAACGGATATCGGACAAAGAGCCAGGATATAGTTTAAGTAAAGCCCTGGCTAAGAGAGCGAAGAGTGCGCGCGCGGATAAAGAGAGCTAACAAAAAGCATAAGTAGAGGTGAAAATGAAGGTAAAACCAAAGTGGCAGGCGAAGCGCGCGGTCGCCACGCAGGCGCAGAGAGCTCTTTCGTATTTTTGATAATCGCGTGTCTGTTTTTTGGCCAAAAATCGATTGCAATTGGCTAATTTTTAGCAAAATATACTATGACGGTATGCAAAGTATGCAAAGCGATGATAATCCATTCAGTGCAAACACAAAGCCCCTACTGGTGTCGTAATTCGCGAAAAAATTCAGCGAATTGTTGGCTATCGCTGTTGTATTAATTAATTATACAAGTGATTTATGTTGAAACATGTCCGAAGAAGGCGCTCTTGCGAAGAAAGTGAATCAAAAGCGGCGAAAGATGAGCTTCCTGTGGCTCTTTTGGCCAAAAATTTGTGTTGCGATGGAGGGGCTCTGATGGCGCAATGACCTTAGTGATTTTTGATTTGTTTGCCGTGTCCGGGGCTGAGCGTTTAATTACGGGTTTGGGTCAGATGGATCGGACATTAATGGCAATCAGTGATTGGAGTGTGTGTCTGTATCTGATAGCCCAAGGCAGGCACAGAAAACATGGACTAGCCATATGGAATGAGAGTCTTAAAGCCTAGCTCATGGCCTCTGATATTCCTTTAATCTAAGTCTCTATTTCTTTCTGTGTAACTTTGAAGATGTTTGCTGGAAAGTCTCCAAATGAAAGTGCCTTGGCAGTCTTAACACTTTTCCCCACTCCCCTCTAACTCTCTACCTCTCTATACATGATGACCAGGTTTTCCCCCATCTTGCAAGCCATTTCCAATCACCGGAGTGCTAATTGTTTTCTCAGGTCCCCACGGGTTATAAACCCCAGTTCCTATTACTGCAATTTCTTGGCCGATTCTCCTCTTCTCGGCCCCGATCCACGTCCAAACGCAAATTGCATGAATCATTCGGCTTAGACCCTCTACGAAATACAATTGATTTGCACGCTAATTTTGGCATTCAAGTTTGACAAACAAAAACTGGTCGTTGGAAAAGCCATTTTCAATTTTCCAGCGCATTAGTCATCGCCGCTCTAATCGTTCAAAACCGGGGCCTTAAACTGTAACTAGTTTTTCGCCATCGCCACCGAGACTGAGACGGAGACTGAGACTTTAACTGGGAAACTAATCCACGAAACCTCCTCATCCTGAAGCCAGTACGAGTTCAGGTCTGGACCGACTGAGTGAAAGTGGAAAAAAAATACAAAAAAAATAAAAGAAACTGCACTAAACTTCAACTGCAGACGCGTGAAACAATTTTTGAATGTTTTTCTTGGCTCGCGGCTCTGTACATGGGGTTTATGTGTTTTCCAGCTAGCCAGTTAGCCACTTATTCAATTTGCCATTCACTGCACACGCCGTGGAAGTGAAGATGAGACCGGGCCGGAGACCAGGCCCAAACCCAAACCCAAACCTGGCCAAAGCCAATGGCGCATTTTATTTTTCATTCCTCAATTACAGCCAAAGAGACTCTTCAGCTAAACTAATTGCAGAGCTTAGTTATTAATTAGGCACTGGACTGGCACAAACAATGGCATAAAAATGCTCTTTTTTTGTCTCTTGAATGGCTTATCTATTGACTGTCACACAGTTACCCCCTAAAACTTTCACTAAAGTAAGCTCTGCCAAAGTAACTAAGACCCGATGTATGCAACAGGTACACATGTCCCGAGGATATCCGCAGACTTACGCATCTGAATCTGAGTCTCAGTCTGAGCCATTGTCTCTTCTTATTGGCCACTTTGTCTTGGCCAGCTTGTCTTGAATGTTTATGGCCAGAAAAGAGTCAATGTTTGGCTTTTGCTTTCATCAGCGCCCCAAGCTTCAAACTTGTTGTGTCATACATACACAAGTCTGTTATTGTTTTATTTAATTAGTTTTTTGTCTTTTCGACTTTTCCCACTCGGTGGCTCGGTGGCTAGGCAGGCCCCTTTGTGGGTCAGGCGGTAGTAGTGATAAGAAATCACTTTCCACGTGCCCAATTCTGGCTCATTTGAATACCTAATTGAGTGTAGTGGGCATCGGTATCGGGATGACATTTCTTCAGGAAAATTCTCTTTTTTAGGAAGTTGGAGAACCTTAAAGACTTGTCCCTCAAGTCCCTTTAAACCTCAAGTCCCTCACAAACAATTAAGAAAGTCAGCCAACTACAACTATATATTGCCAACTTTCCCAACATTTTCTGTTTTCTGCCACCACCTGTCTTCTATAACAATGGCTCTCTCTATCTGCGGAGATTTCCCACGCCCAAATTATTTGCACAATATGTAGCCAGAGAGCTCCACTAAAATTCCAATTCAATTCAGGCTTCTGGTTCGTGTTTTCCCAACCCAGAGACCAGAGACAGAGCCAGAGACTCAAGAGATAGCGTTTTAAGCCGTTTGTGGAGCAAGCCTGAAAGCCATTGTCGTCAATTTCTGTAAGCCATGAGCAGCAGGTACTGACAAACCGTTAATGTGGCGAATTGGAATGCCAAAAAAAATAAATAAATAAATAAATGAAAAAAATTGTAAAGCTTAAGAGTTGTTATTAAACAGAGTGCTAGCCTCGCCCCCCAGTCCCTCTGGAGGCATTTTCTCATTATTTTGCTTTCATTGTTATACCGCTGGCCTGGCTACTGTCCGGAGACCAAATCGAACCGCTTACAGAACCACCCTAATTAGTATTATTACCAAAGAAAACAATTCCCGGGCTTTGTTCGGGCTCTGGACAGGCATTAGCCTCGATTTCAGTTCAATTCTATGGAAGAATTCTATGGGGTTGGGAGGAGACTGTTTGTGTTGAACGGCTACTGGGCACTGACAGGGGGCGGTATACATCTGTCTATATAGTATATACTCTACTCTAAGTACAGTCTAAAATTGAGGAAAATAATTTCTAAAGAAGTCATTAGGGAATCATGAAGGAATCTGATAGAATATAGAAAGAAATCTTACCTCCTCCTTCCTTAAGGAATAGGTAGGTAAGAGGGATATACTAAACTAAAAAATAATAGAAAAATCATTAATAAAGTAGCTAGGTATATACTCTACTATAGACTCTATCCATACTAGAGTTCTCTTGCGAGGAAAGTAATTGCCAAAGGAGTCATTAGGGAGTCATGATGGAATCTGAGAGGATTCAGAACTAGGATCTATAAATCTAGAACACTTTCAGCCTCAAGGAATAAAAAGACGATAAGGGTATACTTTTCAACTGAAAAATAATGGGGATAAAGTACAAAAAAACAGCTAGCAAAGTATTTTCTATAGGAATCATAGAAATTATTATTAAGGAATCTTAACGATCTAGCAATGTAGAACACTTTCTCAGGCTTTCTCATGAGATGGTAATTTTTAAGGCAAAAATAAAAGGGAATATCTATACAAAGATATTATTAGCTATGTATATTTTAATAATATACTCTATCTACACCGTAGATGGTAGGACGGTAGCACTTGCGAGGAAAATCATTGCCCGAGGAGTCAATGGGAAATCGTAAAAGAATTTGTTAGGAACTTAGTACACTTTCTCAGTCTTATAAACTAAAAAGATGATACTTTTCAAGTCAAAAATAATAGAGAATACCTTAAAAAAGTAGATAATAGCTATAGCTAATAGTTTTCAAATCTCCAATCACACTCCATTGCGCCATCAATAGACCCCATTTTAGTGATAAAGTATTACCAAAAAAAACTCCAAAGAATTCAACGAAAAAGTGCTCTCTAAAGTGACTAAAAACGAAATGCTTCGGCATGTGCCTCCGAGATGGTGACCACAATTAAAATAACCTGCGATGGAGTCTTCATCCAGTCCAACTCGTACCTCATGCCCTCGGCCGCCAGTGGCCAGCTCCCGGGAGCAGCAGGATCGGCCTCCTCAGACCGGGCTCTGAAGGCGGGCTCCTCGAACGAAAGCGACAACTCGCAGACGAGCAGCGGCAGTCAGACAGCCTCCAGTGCCGGGAAGCGCTCCAACAGGTCCGTGGGCAGGAGCCAGCGAGGATCCGGAGGGCAGGACACTAGGCGGAGGTACTACTTCGGCAGCAAGGACATCTACTGGTGCAAGCAGAGCCGGGAGGGCTTGGGAGGAGGAACTGTTTCTGGGGGCAGACCCGCTTCGAGTTTGACGCGCAGTGCCAGCAGTGTGACCCACAAGGAGGCCTCCACCCACGCCACCCACAGCGGGGGGCAGGTGATCTCGAGAGCGCGCCGCAAGCCCCTCCTCCTGTGCAGCAGCCTGAGTGCCGCCTACGCTCCTCCCCGGCGCCGGGAGTTCTACTTCTGCGACAAGTATGCCCCCTCCCTCCAGGGTAGGAGCTCGCTCTCCCCCAGCAAGTCCTCCACCCCGTCGGCCAAGAGCGAGTCTGTCCAGCCGATCGATGCCCGGCTTCTGAATTTCCTGCGCAGTGCTCAGCGGAAGTTCCAGGTGGCCAAGTCCAAGCCGGAGCAGCAGCAGCAGCACACCAAAGATAAACCCCAAGCTAAGGACAAGGGGAGTGGTCAGGACTCGTCCCGATCCTTGCCGATCATTGCCTCCACAGAGGAGTGGATTGGTTAGTACCCTAAGACCTAATCTAACTTCAGCTTCAACTTCTAACCTCATGGTAGCTGGTTCTAGCTCTTCCAAATACTTATCTTAGCTACCATGCCCCGTCACCGACTTGGCCCTGCTCCCGATATCCGACCCCGATGTGGCAACTGCTCTGCAGATTGTATTTCAAGCCTCCGAAATTCTCAAATCCGACATTGGGCCTGGGTATTGGATAACCATATCTGAGAGCCAGTGGCTGGCAGATTAGGAGAAGGGATCTACTCCGCCCACTCCAAGCCACCCTTCAGGGTCAGCAGCTCCAGCTAACCATGTCATTAGCAGCAGACATGTATGTTAGTTAGTTTCGAGTGCAAGGTGTAGTTTTCCCCCCACGGGTGTCTGTCGGTTGGCTTCCTTCTTCCTGCTTGCGGTTTTCCTTTCCTGCCCATCGCCTCGGTGCCCGAACCCCAATCCCAACTGTGAAATGCATGCGATATGCAAATTTCTGAGGCCCTCATGCCTCGCACGCCATTCATGAGCGCCTCGTGTTCCATTCACGGCTTTTGTTTGGCTGGAATGGTACTCCTCCCTACTGGTGGTGGCTTACTGACTAAGGTTACCTTTCTTTTGGGGAGAAGACACAACAATGGCCCAGGAACTGTCGACTGTCGGCACTGTTGACTGACTTTGGTGTTTACCTTTCGAGTGTGAGAGTCGAAGGCAACTGTTGACTGACTTGCTTCCCTTAGTTTTGGTTTTTATTAGTTAATCTCTATACTATACTATACTATACTATATTTCCTTATATGCTTAAATCATAACACTTCAAGGCTAGTGTATTCCCACCTCCGGTCTCCAAAGTTGATTTTTCTTTGTTCTCTTGGGCGGGTATGGGCTCTGCTCCACCTCATACCCCAAGGAAGCAAAACACAAAAGATTCTCACGTACTTGTTACCTCTATAGGTGTTGAACTTCTTCTATCCATTTACCCAGTCATGTACAATTTCCTCCAATACCTGGAGGTGCTGACAAGTTGGGCATCCATCTGAAGAGAAAAGGAAACTGCTGAAAGAATTGTAATTTCAGAAGAGTCTCTTACTTTAGTTTGTTTATTTGTTAAATATTTTGTTCAAAGATTGTGTGAAATTGATTCTCCATCGCTGGCTGGTTTGGCTAATTGGTGTTATTACCTCATCGAGTCTGTCGGGGATTACTGCGCATTTCGAACACCCACAACCGAGACACAACCAAACAGTGCATTGCAAAAGTATATACTCATATATTTATATATGTACATGACATGTGCCTGTGAATCACTCGAGTTAATGGCTTGCACTTTTTCTCAAACCCGGCCGATGTCCGGCAGATACTTTTTTGTACTTTTTATGGTTATTACTTGAATACTTTGGGATATTCATCTCATCGCCCTGCCCTGTCGATGTTTATTCACTTGAGGAGCGTGTTTAGGCCTTGCTGGTGAATGTTTATGTTCGTCTCGCTTCTGTGGCGCTTTGCAGCCAAAATACTTTATTAGTATTAATTATTAATGTGGTTTTGCAAGACGAGTGGCATGCTGTTTACATTGCCACAGGTACTAGTTGCTAGCTACTAGCTAGAGGTGTTGCCACACCTGTCAATCAGTCTGTCTAGCAGGCACCTTCCTTGGATCGTAAACATCAATATCTGAAAAGTTAGCGGCCTCTCGTCATTCAAGTCGTTGACTAATCAACCTTTGGACGAGTCACTCCCAACAATGTCCGTTTCGAGGGCTCTTTACTTTCGTTTCTGAGTCACTTGAGGGAGATATGGATTTTAAAAATACCATACTTCTACAAGTTATATTCTCAAAGAAGTCAAGGTCGTTGGGGATATCGTATGGATGTGACGTCACTGGCAAGTGTTTTTTTTTGGCGCTCAAACGTGGGGCATCTATTATACATTCTAAATATTATTGCTTTCTAATGCCTTTTGGCTCATTTCATATCCACAAGTGCCTGTAAAATATTAAGGAACTATTTATAAAATAATATAAGTCACTCGAGTGTAATGTCGAGACACTTGCTCTGTTCTCTCAGTGCCTGAGTCCAAGTTCCAGGTTCGATTTATCTCCACCAAAGTTGGAGGAACAATCGAAACAATGAACACAAGTGGAGCATGGCGCCTATTGTCTGCGGGTGTGACTTCAAAGAGCCGACCCGGCAAGCAGGAAGCTCTGACTTTATGCTGATGACTGGGACTGTAGCTGTAACTGTAGCGTTATTCGTCAGCAATGACTGACTGCAATTGCCGGAATAACTACCTGATTTGAAGAGTCATGCTGAACCAATTTAGAGCGATAGCCCGAAACTCCACTAAAGGCGGATATGGGCAAGGCCTGACCTAAGCTGCCATCCAATCCCATCTCATTCCCACGATAAATCCACATCCCAGCAACGGCGACAAGAATGAGAATTAATATGCAAGAAGCGTTTCCGCCAAGCGAGCGAGCGAGATTCGCTAATGAAATTTGCATAAAATTAAGTTAAGAAATTAAGTTGCCATCCCACTATATCTTCCAGAAGAGGAGGAGGAGCAATTACAAGTAACGCGATCCAGATACCTGACTCATCCCGAACTGAAACAGAGCCCTCTCCCGAATCCATACAGTAGCTCTGAAGTGAGCTCTAAAAGTGCGCAATAAAGACATTTAATTATGCCCGTCACATGCAAATGTTTTACATTCGGAGGCGAGTGGATCGCTCACCCGATTAGCATGCCATTTGTGTTCATTTGAGTCACTCCACCGAGTGTGTTGACCAACAATTGGCGTTGCGCATTCCAAAGTCCCCCAGGGGTCTTATGCAATGCCAGTTATTTTGTGACTTGGCTGATTAAATAAACTAGTGAGGGGCCTTGAGTTAATCTAGAGAAAAGCTTGACCTAACTAAGGCTATATGTATTAGGCTAATTCGGATTTTTAAGCAAGTTTCGAGGAGGTTGGGAACTTAGGGTCATTGGGACTCCGAAGACTAGAAAGAGATGTGCCTGAAAGGTATTTTAAGAAATATTTTAGAAGTACTTTAAAGTATTACCCATTAAGTTCTACTGAGAAGTTATACCTAGAATTAAAATTGGCATTCACTAAAAATACAACAAGAGAAGTGCCTTGAAGGTAATCTAAGAAATATAAAAGAAATACTTTCAAGTATTATCCATAGAATCCCACTGAGAAGCTCTACCAAGTTCTATCTAGTACTCTATTCTAAATACTCTACCTAAAAGCAAACTTCAAATTTATTAAAAATACAACCAGGGAAGTGCCGAAGAGGAATTATATTAAAAGATTAATAGATCACTTAAGGTGTTCTTTGGTTAAGGTTTTGATAATATTCTACTTAGAGCTCCCATTAAATCCCCACAAGTGCTAACCCTTGATGGAAACTATATTAGATACCTGACATCCAATTTATTTGTTAATTATAGGCAGAACCATTTAATATATTACAACCTTGCCCATTAGACCACCTCCACCCCGAATATTATAATAAATTAAAGATAAAAACGTCAATAATACGAACATATGAGGTTGTCTGTGTCTGAAACTCCGATAAGATTAGGGAGCTGGTTGCTATTCTATCAGCAAATAACATCATCAGATGATAGTGCCCAAATAACATTAAACACCCAAAACTAAAGCTTCCATTCATTATGATTTTTATAGACGAGGAAGCCCTGTCCCAGGAAGAGGGAAGCCGCGAGAGGAAGTCCCAATCCAAGTCCAAGGAGAAGGATAAGAAGCAGCCACTCTCCAGAAAGGCTTCAGGCGAGACTTCAGGTGATCTAATCACCGTCGAGATCAAGCAGGGACCGCTACGGAAGCAGCCTCTTCCGGCGGCCTCCCAACCACCCAAAGAAGAAGACCCACCCACGATGAACAGCCACGCGACCGCCACCCAGAACGGACAAACCACGGTGGTGGGGCATCATCGCGGCTTCTCGCAGCCCTCGGTGACGGTGGCCGCCGCCTCGGCGACGGGCAGCACCGCCGGCGATCCATGGTTCCTTCAAACCACCGGCCACCAAATGCCCCCCACCGCCCCCCTGCGGCACAACAAGCGGCCAGCACCCCAACCGAATGCGGTTCTCGGCGCTGGCGGTGGCAGCGGTGGTACGGCCGCTGGCTCAGCGATCGGAGCGGTTCTGTTGCACCAGCAGCAGCTCAGCCAGTCGCAGCCACACATCGTGCCGCCGAGCATACCGCCGCACCACCACCACCATCGCGACAACAATGTGGTGAGTGACCTTGTGGTCTCTAGCGTTGATTCATTCAATTACTGACCCTGACATTGCTCTCCTTCCAGCATCCCAACCAGCCGGGAGCGGCGGCCGCCCTGCATCTGTCATCGCATGCGCTTAATAGTCATAATTTAATCAGCAGCGCCAACAACCACTCGCCCAAGTCCCCCAGCCAGACACAACAACAACAGACGACGACCCAACAACAACAACAGCAGCAGCAGGCGTCTCACAGTATACTGTCCACCTTTGCGCCAGCAGCCTCCAGTGGATCAGTACAGGCAGCGGGTTCGCAGGCGGCGGGAGGAACCGCTGCTGCCGTGGCCGCCGTGGCTCAACAGCAGCAGCAGCAGCACCTCCAGCTGCTGGCCAACTGTGGCGGAGCTGGGGGAGCGGGCCTGATGTCCTCCTCGTTGAACGCCGCCCAGATGGCGTTGCATGCCTCGGAGCGGGCGCTGCCGCCAAAGAGCCTGGCCCTGAGTAGCAGCCAGCACGGCAGCAACATGCTGCTCCACACGACTGCCCAGCCGACGCAGGCAACCCAGCCGGTGTCCGGCAGTGGATCCGCCGGCATGTCCACCTCCCTGCACAGCTTCGATATCAACGGCGGCGCTGGCGGCAGTGGCGTGAATGCGAGCACTGCTTGGACGAGTGGCTCCACCACGGCCATGAACCACTCCTCGCTGTCGCCCACTGCCATGGCGCCCCAACAGCTGCGCAAGTGTGAGGTCAAGCTGAATGCCATGCCGTGAGTTCATCCTAGATTTAGATTCATAAACTAAGACCACTAAGATCCTTCTTTTGGTTAGATGGTTCCATGGCAGCATAACGCGCGATGAGGCGGAGCACCTGCTGCAGCCTCGAGAGGACGGACTGTTCCTGGTCCGCGAGTCCACAAACTTTCCTGGTGATTACACGCTCTGCGTCTGCTTCCAGGCCAAGGTGGAGCACTACCGGGTGAAGTATCTGGAAAACAAGCTGACCATCGACGACGAGGAGTACTTTGAGAATCTTGGCCAGCTGGTGGCGGTAAGTGTGCCTTAAAATGTGGCATGGAACTCTAATGAGAATGGTTTCCTTTTCGCAGCACTACGAAGCAGATGCGGATGGACTGTGCACCCAGCTGATCAAGTGCTTGCCCAAGCTGGGCAAACAAGAGTTCTGCATCAACTCCAAAGACTTTGTGGACAAGGGCTGGGTGATCCCCGAGGCGGAGCTGCAGCTGCGGGAGAGCATCGGCAAGGGGGAGTTCGGCGACGTGATGCTGGGCATACTGCGCAATGAAAAAGTGGCCGTAAAGATGCTCAAGGATGAGGGAGCTGTGCAAAAGTTTCTGGCCGAAGCCTCAGTGATGACGTGAGATATCCCCTGGAGAATCTATACTTCTGGTTCTAAACTCTTATTCTCCTTTTAGGACCTTGGAGCACGACAACCTGGTCAAGTTCATTGGCCTTGTCTTCACCAGCAAGCATTTGTATTTGGTTACGGAGTACATGAGCAAGGGATCACTGGTTGATTACCTGCGATCGCGCGGACGACAGCACATAACCAAAAAGGATCAAATCATTTTTGCCTAGTAGGTGGTTCTATTTCCCCTGAAAATCCCAATGCATAATCATATTTTGTTCTTAAATAGCGACACTGCCTCTGGAATGGAGTATCTGGAAGCCAAGAAGGTTGTGCATCGCGATCTGGCGGCCCGCAATGTCCTCATCTCGGAGGATTGTGTTGCCAAGGTGTCCGATTTTGGTTTGGCACGCGAGGAGTGCTACAACCTCGACGTTGGCAAGTTGCCCATCAAGTGGACGGCTCCGGAGGCGCTCAAGAATGGGGTGAGTTGGCTCTTCATATGATTAAGGACTATCTGAAACTAAATCTCATGTCGTTCCAGCGCTTCTCCAACAAATCGGATATGTGGAGCTTTGGCATACTGCTGTGGGAAATCTACTCCTTTGGTCGCGTGCCTTATCCGAGAATTGTGAGTTAGGAGTGGCTTTCAATAGGGCACTAATGTATATGACTATCTTCCATTACAGCCATTAGCTGATGTGGTGAAGCACGTCGAGGTGGGCTACAAAATGGAAGCACCCGAGGGCTGTCCACCGGAGATATACGAAATGATGCGCCAGGCTTGGGACCTCAATCCCGCCAAGCGGCCCACATTCGCGGAGCTCAAGGTGAAGCTGCAGCTGCTGAACAACGCCACAGCGTGAGGAGGCACTGGACATTGGACACAGATGCAGATGCGAATGGTATCAGACACGGAGATCAGAGGTTCAGATCGATTGCCAGCGTAGCCAAAGGAAGTTTCTCAGACCAAGCCAAGCCTAGCCAGAATAGTATCTGATCCAGAGCTGAAATTGACAAGACACCGAACACTGAACGCAACAATTTTTCGTACGATTATATACATACATGAATATATATATATATATATATATACATAACTCTAATTTACAACAATTTATTTACATATATAATTTATGGAGTAAGTTTTGTAAAATTAAGCGAAGAAACCCGACACAATCAAGCAATGTTAGTGAGTTGCGGCAGCTTCCGATTATAAATTAATCAAAAAAATCCATTTATATAACCAACCAAGAACGGACTACGGACTACGGAGAGGGAAGCTGAGGAGCAGGTGTAGCCTACCCTACCAACTATTGTATAACTTTACCTTTAACTATCACAATATTACGTTTATATGTGTAATCTGTAACGCGGCTATTTATTAGTTGCAATCCTCGTATCGGACTATCGCCACACTTGTATCTTTTTTTGTTATAGAATACGCATACATATGAACGGCACCCAGATGCCACATCCCCGATCCCAAGGGGGGGTGCCTGTCTAAAATTAATTGTTTTATAGAATATTTCCCTTATGATATATGGTGAGAGCCACAAAGAAATGTAATGTTTTTATTCGAGTTCTGTACACTCTTTCTGTTGAACCGTTTCTGTTTGTAGCACAAAACTGGAGGATGATATGACCATGTAGAACTTGTCCAACAAGTCGTTGGGATTGGGAAGAGATCAGATCAGGCAGAGGATTAGTTAAATTTAGTTACATTTATTTCGAAATCGGAAAATCAAACAAAAATTATGCAAAACAAACCTAAATACGAAGGCGGCCACGGTCGCGTGTCCTTAAAAACTCAAAAGTAAAAAAAAAAAAAGAAAAGAAAAATTATTAAAAAAAAAAACACTTGTGAAAATATGCATTAAATTACATAAACTTATACATATAATACACGTAAACTACGTATCTAGCATATGAATCGATTAATAATAATATTAAAAAAAAAAAAACATAAATTATTACGCGCTGTTGGAGGATTTGTTCAATATTCGATTTAATGTCCGTTCTTCTAACAAGGAATCTCCCCCCTCTGAACCTATGCAGCCTGCGGAAGGGCAAACAAAAACTGTAATTTATTTCCTAATTGTACCCCCTAATTTTTAAACTTTAATCTTATTTTTTAACGATCATCCCCGCTAAGAAACTTGTACATTTATGCTTTTAATTCCCGATTGAGCGGCAACTACTTTGCTTTAAAAACTTAATTATAGTTTACTTTATTAAAAACACACACACATCCCCCTCACCACCACACATGACACACATTAATTTTAAAGTTATTTTTTTAAAAAAACAACACCCACAACACACACATCCAATATTGTAAACCCACACACCCGAGATACACACTTGAACGAGGTGACTTAACGACGGCGGAGGATTCTAAAGCTTTTAATAAAAGTACAGAATACAAGCATAAAATATAATAGTTTTTATTTACTTTAGTACTTTACATTTTAACCAACTTCACAGACTTAAGGATTAACTAGCGAAACAATAATGATCTAGACATTGACTGGAGAGCTATAGTCTTTATTTTTGCAAACGTCGAGTAGCTTTGCGTATCGGACGATTCTCCGGCGTGCCGGGTGGGCCGGGCTGGGTGGGAGTGGTAGTGGCGCCGCCATAGTTGAACGCTCCAGCAGACGCATTGGTGGGCACCGGTGACGGGGCTGGACTGGCAAAGGCGTTCGGTACTGGATTGCTGCTGGCGCCGCCGAAACTGAACTGCTTCGGGGTGTTCATGCTCTGATTGCTGGGCTGCGAGGCGATGCCACCGGCTGCTGCTCCGCTGAAAGAGAACGGGGCATTACCGGTGGCATTGCTGGCTGGTGGCTTGGCTGCTGCGCCAAACGAGAAGCTGGCCGGCTTTGAGGGCTGGCTTTGGGCAGCGGCTACCGCACTGGCAAACAGGTTGCCGCCGGGAGGAGCCGCTCCCGCAGAGCTTCCCCCGAACGCAAAAGGCTTGTTACTTTGAGCAGTTGGGCCTGGGGCAGTAGTCGAGGCGGCAGCTCCAAATCCTCCGAAGCTGGGTGCCGCCTGAGGTGTGGAACTGATGCCTCCTCCGAAGCTGGGTGTGGAAGTACTGCCTCCTCCGAAGCTGGGTGCCGCCTGAGTGGCAGAAGTACTGCCTCCTCCAAAGCTGGGTGCCGCCTGAGGTGTGGAGCTAGTGCTTCCTCCAAAGTTAAATGCTGGCTTCACTACCCCCGGATTAGTAGCTCCTGGATTTCCAAACAGATTGTTGCTCGCCGGCTCTTCCTTCTCACCGGCCACCGACGCGAAGGAGAAGCCTCCAGATGCCACAGCTGGTTGTGCTACAGCCTGGTTGTTTCCATTTCCTCCAAAGCCAAAGCTCGCGTTGCCTCCACTGGCGGGGCTGCCGAATATGTTTGTTGATGGCTTCGGTTCCTCGGCCTTTTTGGCCACCGAGGCAAACGAAAAGCCACCTCCTGATGGGGCAGCCGGCTGCTGGGATCCCCCAAATGAGAATGGCTTGGAGCCGCCCATAGCATTAGTGTTGTCCTGTGTGGCTGTAGATCCACTTCCAAACATAGGTGTCGATGGCTTCTGTACTTGGCCGAATCCAAAGCCGTTACTTGTCGAAGTCGAAGTTGATGGAGCAGGCGGTGCTGCTGCCGTGTTGCTCTTGTCCTCTCCACCGAAGCTGAATACCGAACTAGGTTTGCTGGCATCTCCAGCGCCACCGCCTCCAGCTCCTCCTCCTCCTCCAAATGCAAATGCTGGTTTATTCTGGTCTGCAGTACCACTTGATCCCGACGTGGATCCTCCTCCAAAGGCAATTATGGTTGAGAGCTTGGCTTGTCCAAAGATTGGTGGATTGCTGGAAGCGTTTGGAGTTTCAGCTGGTGCTGCTGGCTTGGCAGGAGTTGTGGCTCCTCCAAAGCTAAATAGATTCGTAGATGGTTTCGGAGCACTAGCCGTAGGTGTGGTCGCGTTGAATGAGAAAGGGTTGGTTGGTTCTGCGGGCACTGCCGCTGCCACTGCTGGGTTGGATGGCTTGAATGCACTTCCGAAACTGTTAGCCTGGCTACCAAATATTCCGGGTTTCGCAGGCTCTGGTTTGGTGGCCGTAGGTGCGCTGAACGCTCCTCCAAATGCGGGTGCTTTACTCTGGCTTCCAAACAAATCGGTTGGCTGCGGCGCTGCTGGGGCAGGCGCTTGAGCGGGACTTCCCCCAAAGCTAAAGACAGCCGGCTTTGCAGCCGATCCTGCACTGCTTTCACTTTTGGCGCTACTAGCTTGGCCAAACGCAAAAGGTTTTGGTGGTTCCGTGGATCCTAATGTATTTCCGGGTGCGGGCGCTATGCCAGATGAGGTCAAGGGAGCCACGGTGGCGGTGGGCGCTTTAGGCGCTGATGAAGCCGCTGCTGGAGCTCCAAATACCGGCATGGGTGCACTGGTCCCAGTGCTACCGGCAGTGGGCCCTGCCATACCGAAGTTTAGGGCTGGTGCGGAGGATGTTGCAGGCTTCGGTGGTCCTCCAAAGGCTGGTGAGGATGTTACAGGTTTCGGGGGTGCTCCAAAGGATAAGCTAATTGCAGCTGGAGTTTCTGTGCTGGTTGTCGTAGGCGTAGTCAGTGTTTTACTTATTGGAGTCTCGAGTTTAAATCCTGTGGCAGCGGCTCCTAAAGGTCCGCTCGTAGGCTTCTGGCCGAAGGAGAAGGCTGGAGTTGAGACAGAAACGGGAGTGGTGCTTGCGGTGCTGGTGGTACCAAATGAGAAAGGTTTGGGGGCAGCATCTGTTGATTTCGGACTAGCCGCTGTAGTTGGCGTGGGAGCTGCAGTCGAGCTGGGAGCTGATACAACAGCTGGCAGGCTAGGAATGGGCTTGACTTCCGCCGCCGCAGGGGACTTTGCTGTCGATGTTACTGTTCCTAGGGTAGTCGTAGATGAAGATGCAGCTGCTGCACTTGCTTCCTGTGGTGGCTTAATAAACTGATTACTTAATATAACTGGCTTAGTGGGCGACACAGTCGTCTTGATTCCGGTTGTTGCTGGCACGGTGGGGGCCACAACTGTGGGCTTGATGGGCGTTGGCAGTGCTCCTGCTTTTGGCAATGTGGCGTCCAGTTCGTCCGGCTCCCCTTGATAAAGCTCACCCTTCAGGCCACTCAACATAATCGCTAGCTTGGTCTTTGTGGTGCGGTCGGCATTAAGATTCCGGACACCCAGCGAGGAGCTCTGCTGCTTCGGCTTCACAAACTGAATGCCCGCATACTCCCCAGCATCCACATCCGGACTGTCAAGGTCCTTTAGCTTTTGAGGCGTCTGCTCTTTCTTCTCATTCTGCGTGGCATTGAACAGCGTGAGTTTCGGTTTCGTTGTCCTCGGCTGGACCTCGGTTGGACTGCACTTTGTGGCCGGTTGGACTGCACTTTGTGGTTGGGGAACGGATTGTGTTCTTGGAAGAACTGCAGTAGTCGCAGAGGAAACTGGTGGCATACTTCGTGCCTTGCTTATAGCTACAGCATCTACTTTGCGCTGGACCTTGGCGGCATTCTCGACCGGTGAGGTATCGGGAGAGTTACCACTGCGTACAGAATCATTAACTTGGCTTTGGATGCTTTCCCGAAGATTGAAAAGCTTCCTTTTGTTGGTGTGCCTCCGGCTAGAGCTCAGCGATGAGGCAATGCCGTTGTTGAAGCTGCAATTCCGCCTCTTGGCCAGCTGCTCTGGTGACTGTTGCGGCGAGATTGACCCATTGGAGTGAATATGCGGCAATGTCGGAGGTGGAGCGGCTAAGACCATTGAATGGTGCCTCAGGGGGACGGCCACTGTGAGCTCCCGTTGCCTTTTGAGGGTTTGCTGGTGTTGCTGCTGGTGATGATGGAAGCTGAGATGGTCCACGAAATCTACCCGCTGGCAGCTTCTCTTGGTAAAGTCGTGCGGCGACTGCGGGTCCTGAAAACAAGTGAAGCCTGAGTACAAGGCTCCCAACTCCATAAGTGGTTGCCTGCAACTTACGCCACTGTTGATACGCTTCCGTGATATTTCTTTCAGCTCGTCCAGCACGCTTCGGGTGGGTTCGCTGTCGTGTTGTGGGTGTGGGGGGTGCATGATTGGGCGGTTCTCCCGTGACAGCTGCTCCTGCTCGCTGGCCTTGTGAACGACACCTACCAGTGAGTTGGAACGCAGAAGACTGGGCAGCGTGTTGCCGGAATAGAAGCTCCTCTCGGGCGGGGCGATTTTGGTCAATGAAAGGGCGGGAACGGTCGCCTTGTATGGCAGCGGTGCTCCTGGCATCCTTCGTGGTTTTAGCATGGGGTTGTACAGATTGCTGGCGGACATACTGCGCTGCAGGCCTCCTCGTCCACCGAGGCTATTGTCATGATAGGAAACTATTCGGGAAGCCAAGCCACTACTATGCACATCGGCAAAGGTTCTGAAAGACAACAAATTATTAATATTGCAAGTGATTGTAAAAATCTGTCTATAAAACAAGTTAATATGTTAGTTTATTGACAGTTTTTGTATTTTTGGTTCTTACTTGGGATCCAACTGACTGAGGTTCAGTTTTTGTCGGGAGATACTGGCGCTGGTCTGGTTTCCGAATGATCTGTCTGGTGTGCGGGTGCCATTGAGTAGACTGCTATGCCTTCTAGGACTCAGTCCCAGGACACTGGGGGCAGGGTGACCACTGGATCTGAAACATTTGAAAACAAAATCTTAACAATTTAATTTTTTATTTTTCTATTTTGCGTCACTCACATGGAAGACGCGTCGATCCGCGTGGAATCCGCCATGGGATTCGCGAGACGCGCCGATGGAGAGAAGTTGCTCAAACTAAATTGGCGCTCCATGTTTAAAGTGGTTGTAGTAAAACAATACACACCCGACAAGGCGTCTGAAACTAGACTTTTATAGTTTAAAGTGCTTTATTAAATTATTTGGGAACGCACCTGGTGAAATGTCAGCAGTGTAACCGTAACAGAAGCGCCAAAATATACCATGCCTATCGATAACACCTAGAGTGCCAGGGCTGGAAACACTTCCATGACATGCTCTGGTCACTTTACCCGGAAACTTCAAAACTGTAAGCTTCTCACTTTTTTTGAACGATCTTTGTTTTCAAACAGTTGCTGTTTAGTTTGTATCCACGACCATAAATATTTAAAACTGGCAAATATATCTTTAAATTCTATTAATTCTTCTATTCCAAAAACATAAAAGTTAAATTTGATTTTTTATGTTGGTGCCCATCTATCCATTTTTTTCCATTTTTGGAAAGGATACCCCAGAAAATTTGACAAAAAATCTGAAACAAAATATGTTGTTAGATTTTGATGAAAATTGATAGAAAATTGATCTAAAAACCGTTTAAGACATCCCGCCCAAGAATCGGATGGGTATTGGCCAAGATATAGCCTTCGCAATGGAAGAAAGTGCCATCCATCCATTTTTTTACTTTTTGAAGGGGATACCATAAATTTGAGAAAAATTCTAAAACAAAATATGTTGTTAGATTTTGATGCAAATTGACAGCAAATCGATCTAAAAACCGCTTAAAACATCTTACTCAAGAATCGGATGGGTATTGGCGAAGACATAGCTTTCGCAGTGGAACAAAGTGCCATCCAACAATTTTTTTCATTTGAGAAAAAATCTAAAAAACAAATATGTTGTTAGATTTTGATGCAAATTGATAGCAAATCGATCTAGAAACCGTTTAAGACATCTTGCTCAAGGATCGGATGGGTATTGGCAAAGATATAGCCTTCGCAGTGGGAGAAAGTGCCATCCACCCATTTTTTTTACTTTTTGAAGGGAATACCCCAGAAAATTTGAGAAAAAATCTAAAAAAAAATATGTTAGATTTTGATGCAAATTGATAGCAAAATGATCTATAAACCGTTTAAGACATCCCGCTCAAGAATCGAATGGGTATTGGCAAAGATATAGCCTTCGCAGTGGGAGAAAGTGCCATCCACCCATTTTTTCCACTTTTTGAAGGGGACACCCCAGAAAATTTGAGAAAAAATCTAAAAAAAAATATGTTAGATTTTGATGCAAATTGATAACGAATCGATCTAGAAACCGTTTAAGACATCCCGCTCAAGAATCGGATGGGTATTGGCCAAGATATAGCCTTCGCAGTGGGAGAAAGTGCCATTCACTCTTTTTTTTGATTTTTTTAAAAGGGATACCCCTGAAAATTTGACAAAAAATTTAAAAAAAAATATGTTGTTAAATTTTGATGCAAATTGATAGCAAATCGATCTAGAAAAAAAAGGAGGAAACACAATGTCACAATGTTGAACATACAGTTTTTAACATATTTAATAAACTTCATTTTACAATAGACTTGACTGTGATACATTAATTTAACAAGAAAAAGGGACATTTTATAATTTGGAGAAAAAGGAGGAAAAGGAGGAAACACAATGTCACAATGTTGAACATACAGTTTTTAACATATTTAATAAACTTCATTTTACAATAGACTTGACTGTGATACATTAATTTAACAAGAAAAAGGGACATTTTATAATTTGGAAAAAAAGGAGGAAAAGGAGGAAACACAATGTCACAATGTTGAACATACAGTTTTTAACATATTTAATAAACTTCATTTTACAATAGACTTGACTGTGATACATTAATTTAACAAGAAAAAGGGACATTTTATAATTTGGAGAAAAAGAGGAGGAAAAGGAGGAAACACAATGTCACAATGTTGAACATACAGTTTTTAACATATTTAATAAACTTCATTTTACAATAGACTTGACTGTGATACATTAATTTAACAAGAAAAAGGGACATTTTATAATTTGGAGAAAAAGGAGGAAAAGGAGGAAACACAATGTCACAATGTTGAAAATAAGGAAACACAATGTAAATTAAAAATTTTTAACATATTTAATAAACTTCATTTTACAATAGACTTGACTGTGATACATTAATTTAACAAGAAAAAGGGACATTTTATAATTTAGGAGAAAAAAGGGGGAAAGGAGGAAACACAATGTCACAATGTTGAACATACAGTTTTTTACATTTTATAATTTGGAAAAAAGGAGGAAAAGGGGAAACACAATGTCCAATGTTTATTTTTAACATATTTAATAAACTTCATTTTACAATAGACTTGACTGTGATACATTAATTTAACAAGAAAAAGGGACATTTTATAATTTGGAGAAAAAAGGAGGAAAAGGAGGGGAAACACAATGTCACAATGTTGAACATACAGTTTTTAACATATTTAATAAACTTCATTTTACAATAGACTTGACTGTGATACATTAATTTAACAAGAAAAAGGGACATTTTATAATTTGGGAGAAAAAGGAGGAAAAGGAGGAAACACAATGTCACAATGTTGAACATACAGTTTTTAACATATTTAATAAACTTCATTTTACAATAGACTTGACTGTGATACATTAATTTAACAAGAAAAAGGGACATTTTATAATTTGGAGAAAAAGGAGGAAAAGGAGGAAACACAATGTCACAATGTTGAACATACAGTTTTTAACATATTTAATAAACTTCATTTTACAATAGACTTGACTGTGATACATTAATTTAACAAGAAAAAGGGACATTTTATAATTTGGAGAAAAAAGGAGGAAAAGGAGGAAACACAATGTCACAATGTTGAACATACAGTTTTTAACATATTTAATAAACTTCATTTTACAATAGACTTGACTGTGATACATTAATTTAACAAGAAAAAGGGACATTTTATAATTTGGAGAAAAAAGGAGGAAAAGGAGGAAACACAATGTCACAATGTTGAACATACAGTTTTTAACATATTTAATAAACTTCATTTTACAATAGACTTGACTGTGATACATTAATTTAACAAGAAAAAGGGACATTTTATAATTTGGAGAAAAAAGGAGGAAAAGGAGGAAACACAATGTCACAATGTTGAACATACAGTTTTTAACATATTTAATAAACTTCATTTTACAATAGACTTGACTGTGATACATTAATTTAACAAGAAAAAGGGACATTTTATAATTTGGAGAAAAAAGGAGGAAAAGGAGGAAACACAATGTCACAATGTTGAACATACAGTTTTTAACATATTTAATAAACTTCATTTTACAATAGACTTGACTGTGATACATTAATTTAACAAGAAAAAGGGACATTTTATAATTTGGAGAGAAAAAAGGAGGAAAAGGAGGAAACACAATGTCACAATGTTGAACATACAGTTTTTAACATATTTAATAAACTTCATTTTACAATAGACTTGACTGTGATACATTAATTTAACAAGAAAAAGGGACATTTTATAATTTGGAGAAAAAAGGAGGAAAAGGAGGAAACACAATGTCACAATGTTGAACATACAGTTTTTAACATATTTAATAAACTTCATTTTACAATAGACTTGACTGTGATACATTAATTTAACAAGAAAAAGGGACATTTTATAATTTGGAGAAAAAAGGAGGAAAAGGAGGAAACACAATGTCACAATGTTGAACATACAGTTTTTAACATATTTAATAAACTTCATTTTACAATAGACTTGACTGTGATACATTAATTTAACAAGAAAAAGGGACATTTTATAATTTGGAGAAAAAAGGAGGAAAAGGAGGAAACACAATGTCACAATGTTGAACATACAGTTTTTAACATATTTAATAAACTTCATTTTACAATAGACTTGACTGTGATACATTAATTTAACAAGAAAAAGGGACATTTTATAATTTGGAGAAAAAGAGGAGGAAAAGGAGGAAACACAATGTCACAATGTTGAACATACAGTTTTTAACATATTTAATAAACTTCATTTTACAATAGACTTGACTGTGATACATTAATTTAACAAGAAAAAGGGACATTTTATAATTTGGAGAAAAAAGGAGGAAAAGGAGGAAACACAATGTCACAATGTTGAACATACAGTTTTTAACATATTTAATAAACTTCATTTTACAATAGACTTGACTGTGATACATTAATTTAACAAGAAAAAGGGACATTTTATAATTTGGAGAAAAAAGAGGAGGAAAAGGAGGAAACACAATGTCACAATGTTGAACATACAGTTTTTAACATATTTAATAAACTTCATTTTACAATAGACTTGACTGTGATACATTAATTTAACAAGAAAAAGGGACATTTTATAATTTGGAGAAAAAAGGAGGAAAAGGAGGAAACACAATGTCACAATGTTGAACATACAGTTTTTAACATATTTAATAAACTTCATTTTACAATAGACTTGACTGTGATACATTAATTTAACAAGAAAAAGGGACATTTTATAATTTGGAGAAAAAAGGAGGAAAAGGAGGAAACACAATGTCACAATGTTGAACATACAGTTTTTAACATATTTAATAAACTTCATTTTACAATAGACTTGACTGTGATACATTAATTTAACAAGAAAAAGGGACATTTTATAATTTGGAGAAAAAAGGAGGAAAAGGAGGAAACACAATGTCACAATGTTGAACATACAGTTTTTAACATATTTAATAAACTTCATTTTACAATAGACTTGACTGTGATACATTAATTTAACAAGAAAAAGGGACATTTTATAATTTGGAGAAAAAAGGAGGAAAAGGAGGAAACACAATGTCACAATGTTGAACATACAGTTTTTAACATATTTAATAAACTTCATTTTACAATAGACTTGACTGTGATACATTAATTTAACAAGAAAAAGGGACATTTTATAATTTGGAGAAAAAAGGAGGAAAAGGAGGAAACACAATGTCACAATGTTGAACATACAGTTTTTAACATATTTAATAAACTTCATTTTACAATAGACTTGACTGTGATACATTAATTTAACAAGAAAAAGGGACATTTTATAATTTGGAGAAAAAAGGAGGAAAAGGAGGAAACACAATGTCACAATGTTGAACATACAGTTTTTAACATATTTAATAAACTTCATTTTACAATAGACTTGACTGTGATACATTA